CCTAGGCACTTTCCTTTATCAAATCATTACCAATCATCGTCCTTCTTATGCCTACAACCTTCTCCAATTTAAGTCCTCAATCCATTCCCTCACAACAAGATTTCGACCCTCTGACCTATACATCCCTTCTCATAGATCTGCCTCATTCCAAAATTCCTTTATAGCCCGCTCTGTCAACTTTTGGAATTCCCTCCCCATCAAAATTCGACATGCCCCTTCCCTATACACATTCAAAAACCTCCTATTCCAATTCCTCTTCCAAAAACAGTCAGATACCAGCTAACTATTAATATTATATATGTATTGTGTAGCAATCATATAATCATAATACTGGGTAAGAGATAGTACATGCATTTCCTACTATCGACGTAGGAATTTCAATACATACATTTTTTTTTTTATTCAATTATAATTAACTGTTTATTTATATATATATATTCAAGTAAAGTTTTTTTTTTTTTTTTTATGAAATGAACTCATTGTATCTCTTTTTCGTTCTTCATTTCTCAAAGTGTATGTTTATGTTGTTCAACCCTTATATATAATTTTGTTCATAGTTCAAGTGATTCGTTCATAGTTTTAATTGTTTTGATCATAATTTTAAATGCTCTGTACATAGTTTTATCTGTATTGTATATAGCTTGTGCACCTAAGGTTTTCTTTACTTTTTATTTTATTATATAAATTTATTTATTGATTCAAACGTTTAGGCCAGTAATATTCTATTATTTTGTACATTATTGTTATTCTGAAGGGACTTAGTCCCAGAATAAAGTTTTTTTCTATCTATCTATCTAATCAGATTCCGATTAAATTGGAGACCAAATAATTAGTACCTTCCTTTATGAAAACGTCCCCAACAGCAGCTATTTTAAAAAAGAACAACACTTTCTAACGAGAAATATACAAAAAATTTTCGTGACCAGTTTTATGAATCGCATGGATTCTTCAAGGAGACTATAATAGCTGGAGGTTGAAATGCGTCCAGATCTATTGGAAATGAATAAAAATTAAGTACGAAAAGAAACCGGTATTTCCTTGTGTTCCTATAAAAGGTTGTTTGAAAGAATAAATGAAGTTCATTTTTATTAATATATTTTGCTTTATCATGTATTTCACCTGCGAGACTCAGTTCGTTGTCAATGGGAACAAACTGCGACAGGAGCAAAAGCCTTCACATCTCACGGCGGCATAAAAACTACATCACTTTTCTTTAAATAGTTGCTTTTTGGAACATTTGTCCACCATCCAGGGAGAGGTCGCCCCCTTGCGGAATTCCTTAGCGCCGCTATTCACGATAATAAGTTTTTTAATATATATTTTATATTAGAAAATTGGTCTACGAGAATGAATTTTCTCTATATTTCTCTTTTCATTAAACACCTGCTTAAAATATTAGTTTTCGAAATTAAGGCTTGGCCTTCGGAGGATGTTTGGCCAAGTTAAGGAGAATGGTTTATGGAGAATTAGACGCAACCAAGAATTAGCTAACTTATACAAGGAGACAGATGTGGTGAAATAAATCCGGATAACAAGGCTGAGATGGGAGGACCAAGTTGTACGAATGGACGAGACCTCAACCCCAAAGAAGCTGCTGAGCAGGGAGCCGGATGGAAAAAGAAATGTTGGTAGACCGAAACTGGGATGGAAAATGGAGTATGTGCTGATGCCAGAATCCATGAAATCAGGAACTGGAGGAGGCTGCTCAGGACAGGGAAACATTTTTGAGGCAGCCAAGATCCAGTAATGGATTGTCGAACTCGGGATGATGTTATTGATCACATTAGAAAATTCGTCTAAGAGGATGAATTTTTCCTATGTTTCTCTTTCCTTTAAATAGCTGCTGTTTAGGAATTTCCCCCCACTATCCAGGGGAGAGAGGGGCGCGCCCCCTGGCTGGATCCGCTAGTACTGGTCACGATTATAATTTTTTTATATCACATTAAGAAATTAGTGTATGAGGATGAATTTTCCCTATATTTCTCTTTTCTTTATACAGGTATTTATTGGAATTTTTCCCAGCATACAAGGGAGGGAGCGACCCCTGGCGGAATTCTCTAGTGCTGGTCACGATAATAATTATTGTTTGATATTACATAAGGAAATTCGTGTATGAGGTTGAATTTTCTCTACATTTCTCTCTTCTTTAATAGGGGTTTTCGTAAGTTTTTTCCACCATTGAAGGGAGGGCCCCCTGGTAGAATTCGCTAGTGCTGGTCACGATAATGTATTTTTTTTATATTACATCGCCTATGAGGATGAATTTTCCCTATATTTCTCTTTTCTTTATACAGGTATTTATTGGAATTTTTTCCAGTATACAAGGGAGGGAGCGACCGCTGGCGGAATTCTCTAGTGCTGGTCACGATAATAATTACTGTTTTATATTACATTAGGAAATTCGTGCTCGAGGTTGAATTTTCTCTACATTTCTCTTTTCTTTAAACAGATGTTTTTGTAACTTTTTTCCACCATTCAAGAGAGGGAACGCCCCCTGGTAGAATTCGCTAGTGCTGGTCACGATCATATTTTTACTTTTCACCATACTATTTATCATATTAAATATATTTACCATGTATTGGTGCATGTCACTATCCAACAGTGTCTTGAGGTGTATCGAGAACCAGATTAATGCACCAACTTTAAATATACGTAGATATCAATTTCCTTATCAATCTACCAAGATGTTGGAGTTAATATGAAAGTACAATACAATCCCATAAAATTCCCAATGTCTGTAGTTTGGATTTATTTTCAATTTAATGTTGTTGTTATTTTTAGTTTTTAAAACAACTATCCATGTTCATAACATATATTCACATGATATAATTTAAAATCAATTAAATGTTGAGATAATTAAACTATTTTCATCGATTTCATTAGAATCATTAATTAAATATATACTGGTTTATTTTAGTATCTAAAATATACCTTATTATCTGAAAATCTTGAGATAATAGAAGGGGAGGGGATAATAGGTCCTTAACGCAAACAGGAATAATGAGATGACAAACAAAAAATGTAAGGAGTCTAAAAAAAAAGATATAACTGAAAATTCGGATATTGCAACAGTCTCAGTGAAAAAATAGATTTAATTAGATGCTGTATTTTTTTCTTCCCGAAACAAAAAAAAAATATATAGTTCCGCTAAGGTTAATTGATGTTGAAATAATCTCTTTTGTCAATGGCATTCCTCTTAGAAATAGATAGGTCAAAAGTTATAACACTAATTGTTATATACTTTGTATATAACACTAATACTTTATTGTTATATCACTAATTGCATAAATGAATACTGTTGGTATATCACAAAGGGAAAATTCATCAAATTGTTAACTAATTTAATTTTCTAAAAGGTTACATGATGATTTTTGAGAATAAATGGACGATATATAGCTAAATATTTAAATATATTATGAGATCTAGGGTTATTAAACAATATTAAATGTATTCAAGGTTATCAAAATATCCATGAAATATTTTTATATTTCACTTCTTCTTTCACACAAGTACAATGAAATAGTTTAGCCTTGATTCCATGGATTTTAAATACTTTTTTTCAAACTAAAAAATAAAATTTAATTTACATTTAGTTAGTATATTACATTTAATTTCCTTGAAAACATATGATTTCCGTTAAATAATATTAGTTTTCAAAAATTATTATTTATAATTTTTCGTCATACTATATTACTTTCTACGACTTTCTATATTAGATATTGTTTTTGTTTTTCTAAAATTTTCCGGATATACCTTCTGTGTAGTATTTCCGGAGATTCATTTTCGATCTGGATATGCATTTTTCTTTTTTTCTTTATTATTCAATTATCAAATTCTTTCAAAAGTTATATTTAGCCTTTCTTCATAACTCCTAACAATGAGAAATAGTTAATTATTTAAAATGAACCAAATTAAATCTACTTTAGAGGAAGACTTGTTGAAAATTGGGCAATAAAGCCCCGAAAAGAGACATAAACGGGTGTAAGACATACATGATATTAAAAACCGCTTAATAATACTATGATACACCGAATTTAGTCGAAGTTGTTAGAACCTTTTTTGAGAAAACTGTTAAAATGTGTATCACTACAGATATAAAGTGACACTTTAGATTAGCCAATTTTAAGGGAAAAGTTGCTGTATCATCTGAGCCATATACAAACCTTAAATAAGTAATATCAGTTACGTACAACTTTTCGTTTTTGAGCTAGACTGTTCACATAAACACATACAGAAACACAGACCATTTCACGAGATTTGGTTATTTGGACTCAGGAGACCTCAAAACGTGCATTTCCGTTTAAAACTCAGATTTGAAAATTTTCACGATCGTAATACCTTTTCTTATTTTATACTTTTACAATTACATATATAGGCAAGTGCAAGTAAAAATAAGTATCCTAAATTATATCATTGCTAATCACATAATCATGCAAATTTCTGATCCATGTGATCCTTTATTGTTCCTCAGAAGCTGCTTTAACTGTATAAATATATTTATATAAATATTACTGTATATAAATAGCGATGCAAGCGCTATCTATGTATAGACACTTAAACCTCTAGCCAGACTAAATCCCGGTAGAGAGCGCTTTGTTTCCTATTTCATGTTTCAAAATATAAATACAATACATATGTTAGCGTGTATAATAAAATATTACAGTAAAAACACAAAGTATATTTTTTACTATAAGTTTGATGATTGAAACAATTATTAACATTATTCGACCAAGATGATTTATCATTTTAAATCATTGAATAAAAAATAATATAATAGAGCAAAAAAATAAAATAACGAAATTAATGTTGTAACAAATGAATATAAAAATAATATTAACAGACACTTTTTAAATACACCGTAGTAAACAAAATGTGTTTAAAATCATAATTTTCAATTGGCGACGTCTTCCTCTGGCAATGAAACAAAACAATTGACTGCCATTAAAATTATTCCCCATTAGCATAATTATTTATTTAATGGCCTATAGAAAAGTTATATGATATTGTTTGCTTCAGTCCTTCCTGTTTTTTTGGCTTAAACCGTACCTACTTCATGTTGTAAAAGCTAACTATACAACAAGTTAAATATCTGACTGATTTAGTATTGGTATGAACATATACATATATATATATACACTCATGTTTTCTTTTTTTACTAATTAACTTTTTTTGATTTTGTATAGTAATTAAATAAATAATTATTTAATAAAAATAAATCTAAGCAATATCAACTAAATTATTTGTCTTTCAAAACGACATTTACAATTACTTCAGATTGTTATTATGTTATATATTGTTATTTTTTTTATTTTTCATAAAAACCCTACAGGAGTTTATTTTTTAAACATTACATAGTTCATACAAAGTCTGCATTTTATATGTATAAATGTTTGGTTTATATTTTTCTTAGGCAATTGATTTAGCGATTGACAGCAAAAATTGAAAAAAAAGAAAAGAAAGTAATTTAAACAAAAAGTAAAAAACTATAGCTGTTTATAGAATAATAATTAAAAGAATTAAAGTATTCTATATAAAAAAAAATCTCTAAATTTTAATAAGTGAAATTGGAATTTTCAAGAGACTTTGTGAAAATAAAGACATTAAATGGATAAATTTACTTACATTAAACCATTTAAATTATGTAATTTTTCTCTGATATTATTTACAATTGTTAATTTAGTTTAAAAAAATCTGGTGTGTCCACTCACACGACTTTCCTACCTATTCCAGAAAAGTTTTTATATCTTTACATATGTTCATGAAGAAACAAAAAATAATTGAACTAGATACATTTTCCTGAAAATTGATCATACCTAAGATTTGAGTACGATTTATTTGATAAACTAAAGCAATGCAAACCGGCTAAAGGTAGATCAGTCTAAAAATTTCAATACTTCCTAATATTGCTGATCAAAACCTTTTTGCCATAGCTTAGCATTGTCAAACAATGATTTCGGTCGGCACAGACAGACAGACAGACAGACAGACAGACCAATGGCTAAAAATGTGTTTTTGGACTCGGGGGGTTCTGAAACGTATAGATCCGTCGAAAACCGCATGTCGGAAATTTGACCAGATTGCAATACTTTCCTTACCTAGTAGTATAGGTAGGAAAGTAATAAAATAAGTTTAAAAAATGTGTAAAAAATAGAGTAAGCTGTATCATCGCTAATACTGGTTCGATTCCGGTGATGCTTTTTTTGTTTTGGTGGAAGTTTAATTACCTTTCAAAAGTTTTATTATAACTTTTACCGCATAATATATACTTAAGGAGTTAGGCCCCATAAAATTTTTCTTTTCTTTATAACTTTTATCGGGAATTTAGTCTATATACGAAAATTGAAAAGACAGGGATTAGAACATTATAGGAAAGTTTCATCAAAATCGTTAGAGCCTTTTTTGAGCAACAGTCTATAGAAAAACATGTTTTCCATTTATTGCCCGAAAGCTATTGCGCATGGAGCACCGAATTTCTGTCACAGGCATCAATAGTCAAAACCCTACAGAATAAAAAAGAAGCAATAAAATCGGTTAAGTAGTTTCCGAGAAAATCTTGGCACAGACAGGCAGACAGACAGACAGACAGACCAATGTCTAAAAATGTTTTTTCGGACTCAGGGGGCTCTGAAACGTATAGATCGGTCGAAAACCGCATGTCGGAAATTTGAAACGATTGCAATACTGTCCTTACCTAGTGTAGGTAGGAAAGTAAAAAATATCGGTGAGTAAATTAAAATGTAATCAGGATATAATATAATTTAAATAAAAATACAAAAATAGCACAAGATATATATACAGATAGACATTTAACAAGACAATAGTAATAACTAAAATTAAAATATTAGCACTATAAATAAAACAAAGAAAAAAAATTATTAATATATGTTATTAATCTTAATGTTATGTTATATACATACAAAAAATAAAACAAAAGGTATCAAATCAATAAATGAATTTGAAATAAAATACTGTAAATAAATAAAACTAACAAAGCAATATATATTGCATAATAAATACACACACACACACACACTCATATATATACATACATATATATATATATATATATATATATATATATATATATATATATGTTCCGCAGATATATATACTCAGTATGTATAAATCATATTGTTTTGTTTTTCGTATGTATATTATATATATAAACAATAAGGTTTAGTGTAATTTTTTAATAGATTTTAATCTCCTGCTAAAAAACAAAATAGATTTTTATATTTTTACTTTAACTTATCTATATATGTAATATGTAGTAATTATTGCGATCATAAAAATTTTCGATTCTAAATTTTTAACGGAAATACACGTTTTAAGGTTCCCTGAGTCCAAATAACCAAGTCCCGCAAAATGGTCTCTGTGTGTGTTTCTTTATTTTATTTTTTTTTTAAATGAAATGAAAAATATTTTATTATTTTGGAAATGTTGTCCCATTAGAACAAATTATAAATACAGATTGTATGTCTGTATGGTTACAATTAGATTATATATTTACAATAAGATTCGACTAAAAATAAAAATACTGAAGAAGAGAAAGAAAAGAACAAGAAAATTTTACATAAACATAAGAAACTAAAATAACTTAAATAAATTGAGGTAGTCTCTGGGGGTGCTTAGATATTTCTCTTAAGTATATTTCACAATGAGTCGGATTGAGAAAGGAGTAAGTGTTTAAAGAGGAAAGATTTGAAAGAGGAAAATGATTGAGCGTGTCGAATATCAGCAGGGATGGAATTCCAGAGGAAGGCGGCTTGTATTGATAAAGATTTGTCAAACGCAGCCGTTCGGTGAGGAGGAGGATAGAGGTCGGAAGTACGGGATCTAGTGGGACGGGAATGGATGGAGTACTTGAATTGTAAGATGTGAAAAATATAGGAGGGTCGGTGAGTTCTAATGCTCTGGTACAGAAAGGTGGCTAGGAAGTACTGACGGCGATAGGATGGGTAGACCCACCTCAATTCAGTGTAATACTGGGTAATATGCGTATCCCTTGAGATTCAGAAAATAAATCGCAGTGCGCAATTCATTTAAGTTTGGCCTCGAAATCTCCCGAGAGTCCACCGTACACCATAAAGCCATAGTCGAAGTGGGGAAAAACAAGGGAGGAAACTAGGAGTTGACGGGACTTATATGGAAGGAGATATCGTAGAATTTGTGGGATGTGTTGTTTCCATGACAGGGTTGACCAAAATTATCACCTAGATTTTTAAAGATTGTGTGGAATAAGATAGGTGAGTTGTTCAGGAGGAGATTGGGAGATACCGGCTAAGATTTGAGGAGTGAGGGGGATCCGATCAAGATGGCTTTTGTCTTCTCGGCGTTCAGAGTGAGCCTGTTGAGCTTTGCCCAAGCACTTATTCTGTTAATGTTATCCTGAAGTTTTAGAATGGCATCTGAGAAATCTGTCTGATTAAAGGAGAGGTAAATATGAATGACTTCGGCATACAGGTGGTATTGACAGTGCAGGAAGAGGATGGGAGGTCATTTATATAGATGGAGAAAAGTGTAAGGGATAAGGAAGAGCCTTATGGGACGCCTCTGGACAGAGGTTGCGTTGTTAATGGGGGATTATTATCAATTACAACATACTGGGATTGACCGGTAAGGAATGATTGGAACCAATAAAGGGAACTAGAAGAAAATGAGATATTTTTAAGTTTCGTTAGGAGGATGTTGTGGTCTACTGAATCAAAAGCTTTGGAGAAGTCTAGGAAAATAAGGATGGTTAGTTTCTGGTGATTTATGGCTGTGTGAAGGTCTTGAGAAATTTTGATTAGGGCAGACTGAGTAGAATAACCAGGCCTGAAACCGGACTGGTAGGGATTTAGGAGATTATTGTCCTCTAAAAAAATGGAATAGCTGGGTTCGGATTATCGCTTTAAAGGTTTTGAGAGGTTTGAAAGAAGGGAAATCGGTCGGAAATCATTAAGAGCTGATGTGTTTGAGATCTAGGGAGAGTCAAGGGACGTACTAAGGCGGTTTTCCAGGATGTAGAGAAGGTAGCATTTTGAAGAGAATAATTATATATATGATAAAGGATCGGAAGAATGGATGGAAATGCGGCTTTATTCAGTCTGACTGAGATGTTATCGGGACGGTAATCATTGGTATGGAACTTCTGAATGATCTTAAGGAGATCATCTGTTGTAATATGGGAAAAAATAAGTTATCAAGATAAAAAGAAGAAAACATAGGAGCCGGACTGGACATAGAAGATGTGGCTGCACGAGGGCAGGAGACAAAGTGAGCGTTGAGGTTATCAGCAGAAACGGAATTAGATTGGGGCTGAGGTGTATTACCAATGGTCAGTTTTATATGAATAGGTCACGTGACCTTGGTAGTAGGAGAGTTGGATAGGGAATGTTGGTAGTAACGGAATTTAGCACGGCGTACTGCTGATTGAATGCTGTTTCGAAGCTGTTTGAAGGAAGTCGAGTTCGTTTAAACCGACGTCTTGCAGCATCTCTTTCTCTCATACACTCTCTCAAAGTAGGAGTAAGCCAAAGAGCTGGAGGATATCGGATAGTTTTTGTGATAAGAGGAGCATTTCGGTCGAGGATAGCGTGAAGTTGAATGGTAAGGGTTTCTACCATGGTGTCTATGGATTTTTAGGAGTAGATGGGATCCCGCTGGATATCATTTATCACCAAGATCATTTGACAGTGGTTCGTGAGTGAGAGAATATAGGTTTCGGAAGGATATTGTTCGAGGAGAAAAGGATGGAACAAGAACATTGTAAGAGATCTAGATAAGATCGTGGGAAGATAGAAACGAGACCGGGTGCTGAGATGTGGCAAGGAGATCGAGCTAGGACTCTGAGTACCGAGTGTGATGGGTTGGATCGTAGGGTACTATGTAAATACTGAGAGAATGAAAGAGGTTTGTTATGTAAGAATAATCGGAGGATGGCGTCAGTAAATTAGTGTTAATGTCTCCGGCCTCCTTACCTATCATCCAAATCCCCTTGCACAATCTCTATAAAGCACCACCCATCCTTACAATCCTCCTCGAAGGATGAAGCGGCAGTGGTCCAGATACCTTCTGTAAATAAGCATATTGCTATGTATTCTAAAGACCGCCTGGGGAATATGT